GGCCCACCGAGGAGCCAGCCTGCAAACCCACCCTGGCGGGGGGGGTTCCCAGCCCCCCGCCTCCTCCCCGGGCGCCGTGCTGATTCTATTAAACGCCCGCTCCATCACCCGGCTCCAGGCAATTACCGCCGATTAATATTCATGGCGGAGTTCAAAGGGGTCCCTGAGAGCGGATCGGCTGGCGTCTGCGCGGCGGAGATATGGATCTGATGAATGCTATCGGGCTGGCAGGGACAAGCCAGGGTGGCATGTTGCCACCAGCCCTGGGAGCCCGCTATCTGACCGGGAAATTTAGCTTTCTGCCCCCGAGTGGTGATTAGCAGCCGCTTATCGACCCACGGGCCGTGTCCTGCCCACGCTGTGACAGAGCAGCCGGGGGTGGCCTTGTTTATTCGCTTATTTATTTGGGATTGATTCGCTTGTGTCCCCTAATTAAATTATCAGGCGGCTGCAGGAGCTCCGCTAACTAACTAACTAACTCCAGAATCCTGTCTCGGAGAGCAGGGAGAGGGAGGAAACGTACCCATGGCAACAATGGATAACGAGGAGACGCAGCTCTTCATTTATTTAGCACGGGCTGGCAGGGACGTAGGTGACGGCTCACATCCAGACAGCAGAGACTTCTCCTCTTGCCACCCTTTAGTGCCCTGGGCATCGTAGGGGCTTGGCCCTCGGCGGCTCGCCAGGTACCCCCCACTCCTGCCCCGCTTCCAAATGGCACCTGCACCGTGCCACTCTCGGAGGGACATTCAGTGTCGCCGTTCTACCGGCAGCATGGGCGGCGAGGGAGAGCCCAGCTGGAGAAGGCAAACCCCAGCCCTGCCCCGCCCCTTCCGCCTGAGGCTCCGCCCCTGGAGTCAAACCCCGCCCACCTGCTGCACCGCCGCCTTCGGCGGTCGGGCGTGTAGGCAGCTTTGGGAAGGCTGTGTCTTCCCTTGCCTACATTACCGACCGCCCATGATTTCCGGTCTGGATCGGTTACCTGTGGAGGGGTAGCACACGAGAGACATCCCCCAGCGGAGCAGTGCTACGCCTCCCCCACACTGGCACAGCGGCAGCATGTTCGCCGGGCGGCTGTCACGTAGACGCGTGGCTAACCCAGCTCCCCCAGCGGCGGGGGCCGGCCCT